ATATACCTTTTTGATCTTAGGCAAAAAAATCCAAAATGAAAGGAATTATGTTTAAGATATTTACCATCCTCAGAAAAATTAACAATCCTCATGAATCCCTTAAGTACTATTATAATTTTTGAAAAATAATAAAAATTTGTAAATTTTTTATGTGAATTTGACTGAGTGATAACTTGGTTGTAGCACAATACATAGAACTATCATCCAAACAAAAGTTAATAAAGATACCAAGTACATGCTTTTCTATATTGTGGATATTCAAGATTATCATATTTTCTTTGCCTTCAAACTCCTCATAAAATGATCAAAATTATGCCCGCCTTTTTAGGTATATTATACGTGTTGTTTTTCTTGATAAAATCAAGGATGGCAATTATAAACTTTTGTTTACCAAAACGGAAGTTAAACAAAAATAGATTTTTTATTCAATTTCAAGGTAAAATATGGATCATTTTGTCCATTTTTTGCTGAAAATCAGATTTTTACACTAGAAAAGGGAACCTTGTTACAACAAGTTAATTTGTTGATAATTACATTTTAAGTTGAAAATATGGCATAAAATTTATCGAATTTTCAATTGTAACAATTAGGTAAAAATATTCACAAATATAGTTTAAAATATTATTTGTTATAATTATTTTTAAACATCTTTTTAAGTTACAAATATGAAGACAAATTATTGAATATTCGAAATTTGTTACTTTAAACAAATTCATATCATTTTGGATTATGCTGACTAAAATATTTTTAAAAAACTAAAAATAAATATTAATTGTCTTAAAATATTATTGTAAATATATTACATATTTATCATAACGTGTTTATAATACATTGATGCTGCATAAATGCAACAAATAACAACACAGGTGACAAAATATGTACTCAGCGCTTCATTTGTGTTATATTTACCATATATGACTTTATTATCAGCAGCAATGTAAAAGTATCCATGAGCTGTATAATAATACTTGTCGTTGATGTATGTATGAGTGAAGTAAACATTAAATAAGTCGATGTGTTCGTTGTCTTTGACTTCGGTGTAAATCCTCACATCGACAAATTTTGAATTTTCAAAGGTGATATTTTCGACCTTTTATAGGGGGTCTATAAACTGGTTGGGGAATATATTAGAAACTTTCGAAAGAAAAAACATTATTTACACGTATTTTGGAAAAGAAAAACCCTGCTCTGCAGTTTTGGGAAGTATAAAGCATGTTATTTTCTATTTTTGTTTTCGTTGTTTTGTAATTTAAGAATTAAATTATAAATATAAAGAAAACTTGAAAAACATGATAAAAGTAAAAAAACCAAAAAAACAATAAAGAAAAACATGAATAAAATTAAACATAATTTGTATGCAATCATAATAAGTTTTGAAAGAGTGGTATTTTATCTTATCATGCAAATAATGGTTCACAACTGTCATTACATATTAATTTCACGCATCTCATTTGTTAAATTTATATCACACAAAATTCGAATCACATATTGTTAAATTATTATTTTTCGTGATGTATTTTTTGTAAACTTTCTCGTGTATAAATTGTAGTATATCAACGAATGATTATTTCAAGAATATTTTTTATATTATTTAAAACTCTAATCATATATCTGTCGACTTTATTTCATTTGAAATCATCTTTTTCTTAATATTGTTGATATTATAACTTTTTCTAATATATTAATAATTATGATTTTTTTCATGCGTTTATCTTATGTTTTTTAAACAATATAAATTTGAAATGTTTAATTGTGTTATATTTTTATTATTGTTGTTTTAACATTGTATTTACATATTTATTAAAAAATAAAAACATGAAATAAAAAACTTAAATGTTTAAAGCAATATAATTTAAACAAAAAAAAATTAATCACTTTTTTGTTTTAGATAATCTTTTTTGTTTTTGTTCTTTGGTTTCAATTGATACTCTTACGACACCACCATTGACTTCTTTTTTCATTGATCCTTTTCCGTACAAAAATTCTCTCATACCTCTAGAATACAGAACATCAACATCACACACATTATACGTTCTATCTGCTTCAGTTTTGTCTTTATATTTCGTTGGATCAATTTTAGTTTTAAATCCAATGCCTGCTTGAATAAAAGAACTTCTAACCAATGTTGGTCTGGTTTTTGCGTGCCACGAATCGATAATAGATTCAATTCTTCTTTCAACAGTTGCTTTGGCAAATTGAACTCTCGCTTTTGAATAATTATCGAAAAGATCTACTTTGCATTCTTTGTAATCCTTCATTAATTCTTCAAACCTCATAGAAAGTAACTCGTTTTGAGCAAGATGTCCCTTGAGCGCAGCAAAAAGACACAAATCAAGTGGTTGACATATATGTGAGCTATGTGGTTTCAAAAACAACACGTCTATTTTGTTTTTTGAAAGCAGTTCAAGAGCCTTATCATGACCTTTAAATCCGTCCAAAATTAAAATTGCTCGTGCCAGAGTGTTATA